ACACCGAAACGTATTTTAATTGATAAATAGAGACAATAAATGACTGAAACCCAGGAATTAATTTTGATTTGGAATTGAAACACAGTCAGGAAAGTATATTCAACTATCTGTTAATGCCAAAAAACATCATTGCCGCTTTGACTTTTCATCAAAAAATTGTAGGAGAACTTTTTAAATATCAGAAGTTTTCGTAATTTGAAGCAAAAATCGTAATTTTTCTTTTTAAATGCTTAAGTATTCCAATATGCTTCTAATTAAACATGGAACACTTTGAAAATAATGCTTAATAACAAAGTTAAAATTCGATTTTCAACTGTTAATATCTTCTAGAAATTATCGAAAAAAAAATACTATTTTTCTCGTACCGTCCAAGTGAGCCCCTATTACCCCTTAAAAGGAATGACGCCAATTTTGAATCACCCTGTATTTGTCAAAAGGTTTCTGAACAAATCGTGTAGGAAAATGATATTTTCAAATTTAGAGACGCACTAAATATGACTCTTTTTGCGGAAAATCTCATGAGTTGGGAAAAACAGTTTGCGAGACACTCTATCGAAAAGGTCCTAATTGTTATTCAGGTATTTTGGGGCAACCAAAAATTAAGTGCTTAAACGAGTACTTAAAGCTTAGCAAAAAAAAACTATTTTAAACGGTTTTGTAAATTGTTTATTCGTAGAAAGCTATAAATATATATTTACAGTGAGATAAAAAAGAAGAACAATATACTATATGTATTTTCTCAATCACAGAAACGCAACCATTTAAGATCCAAAACCGTTTGGGTTTTTTCCTGATCTCATGTCGTATTCATCGATGCGTTTGAAACTTTTAACGAAACAGTGAGTAAATTAAACAGGTTCAGATTTTTATAAAAATGCAGAATTATAGAACATCCTTATTTACATATAACGGTTAAATATTTAAATGAATATCTTTAGTACTTTTTTTATTTATTTTCCTGACTGCGTGTAATTCTTATTATATTATTTTCTTTCCTGGGCTCCAGTCGCGGTGTGAAACAATTTTTTTTCTGTGTAGCGTTTATTTCGTTACGTTTTGGCGAGACAACAGCACCATTATCAGATTTTAAAATTCATTCAAACTCATAATTGGTAAACATTATATTCATTTAGGTTTTTGCCGTCTTGAAACTTCAATTTGTTTCTTGTGGCAAACGTAACGAAATAAACGATATACATTTTTTTTTTGTTTTACACTGTGACTGGAGCCCAGGAAAGAAGATAATATAATATCTTTAGTACGGTCATAAGCACATGGACCCGAATCGTAAAGATAAGGTGAAAGTGAGGGCTTTTCGTAAAAAGTCTTGTAACTATTTTTTATTTAATATGTATATATTTCTAAAAACAACATTCTGATCGTAATGAAGATTTTCTTAATTCAATTAGCAACAGCTAAGTCTAGCCCTTGAGTCACATTAGTTCGGAGCAATGTAAAGTGGCCTTTGAGATGGTGGGTGTCCGGAAGCAAATTCCAAAAAAAACCCTTCCAGTTGTAAATACAGACTTTCAGAATGAATGTGCAGTTAAAAAGTGAAAGAATTTCCGAATATATGCTCGCCTTCTCAAATTTGCACTCCCATTTTGAAAATGAATTTGAACCATTTTCATGAAGTCCCCGATTAAAACAGGCATTTTCTATGCCTGAACCGTTGAGAGCACCATAGCATATACAGAGTGACAGAAAGTGAGCGAAAAAGAAAGCACTTTTGAGTCGAATCGCATCCAAAACAAAGTGAATAAATTTGTCACAATCTTGTGGCAAGCGTCCAACATCCAGAGAAAAGAATAATGTAGATTGCACATAGTCAGTAGTACCCTGTCGAAACAATTACGCGTTCCGTCACTGGCCGCCCAGATTTTTATCAACGGCGGCATTCACAATATTCGTTAAGCTATCGGACATGTTTTGATTTTGAGAATTGAGATCGATCTCTGTCAACGACAAATTATTAAAATCCGGTAATTGTCCTAAATTCGATATGTTCATTTCGTTGAGGTGATTCTGCAGGTCGCCAGAATTGATCTGGTGATTATCGAGGTCCAGCAGTTGGGGCGGCCCTTGTTCTGCCGGATTCGAGGGAATGTTCCATGTGGCACAGCCTGCAGCTTCGACCTGCAGATTTCTCGCTGGCGCGTTCCATCCAGGACTCACCTTCATTTCTGCCATCAAATCAATATTAAGTTCCCGAAAAGCTTCATTGCAATCGACTTACGCGACATTGTGTTGAAATTGTTGCCCACGTTGACCGGCTGCAGCCTGTAAGGGTAGTTGAGGGCTTCGGGTGAGGGTGTCGGCGCCAAATCGTACGGGTATTGAGGCGAAACTGATGGGGTGGACACGTAGTTTTGGTTCTGCACTTGGTACATTATTCCGTCATAGGGCGAGGTTCCTCCATAGGGCGAAGTGCCTCCATAGGGAGACGTTGACTCTGCAAAGCAAAATGTTGGTTCCAATGGAAACATTGCAAATCGGGGCACGCACCTTTGGGTTCCATCTTGATTAGCTCCAAGTTATTCACCTCCTTCATCACCCTTTCTATAAAAAGTAATTGAAAGTTAATGTGTGAAGTAGAGTAGAATGATGAGTGGGTATGAAGTCCTTTGAGTTTCACTCTACAGGATGATTAACCCAGATAGCACAAAATATTACATACATATTTAGGAAATATTTATATGTTTGCTAAATATTTCAGATCAAAGCAAGTATTTCTTAAATATTATTTTTTAAATATTTGTTTCTAATATTTAATTAGCATGAAACAAATAAGTTATTAATAATTTTCTTATTACATAATACTTTTTGTACCTATATATAACACCACTAACACGCAAAAAGTTACTAATATATTATTTTAATAAGTGGGAACAAACTTTAGAACATAATATTTCAATTTTCATTGGTCAATGAATAGAAAATTTTTTAAATATTATTTAAATGTTATTTCAAAAATATTTGTTTCTAATATTTAATGAACATGAAGCACATAAATTAAGAATACTTTTTTATAGTACCAAAACTTTTTGTATTTATATATAACATCATTAACACCCAAAACGTTATTAATATATTATTTTTAATAAGTGTGAACAAACTTTAGAACATGCTATCTCAATTTTCATTGGTCAATTAACGGTGAATATTTCAAAGCAAAAAGAAATATTTCTTAAATATTAATTAAATGTTAAAATTTTGAAATCAAAGGCATTTAATCATGAAACAAATAAAATAATAATAGTTTTTTTTAGTACGTAATACTTTTTGTGTCTATACAGGGTGATTCAAAATTGGCGTCATTCCTTTTAAAGGGTGATAGAGGTTTCCTTGGGGAGCACGAGAAAAATATTGAACATTTTTATCTCGAAAATTTCTAGAAGATCTTAACAGTTGAAGATCGAACTTCAACTTTGTTATTAAGCATTATTTTGAAATTAATATCAAAAAAGTTCTCTTCTACAATTTTTTGATGAAAAGTCACAGCGGCAATTAAGGTTTTTGTCATTAACAGATAGTTACAGGTAGATAGCCCTTGTCAATAATAACAATAATTTGTCAAACTGTGACTTACTTTGAATTTCCTCCCGCACCAAATAAATACCGAGGAGCAGGAGTTAATTAACTGAATACGAGGAGCTGCTTGATAAAAGTGGATAATAAGGCGATTACACAGGCACTAGCTTGTTTGGAGTTAACCATTCAAATGTTTGGTGTTGTATGGATTATTTGTAAACACTAAACCCCGCAGAATTCAAGGTTATGAGAACAGGTTGACATTTCGAAAGTACGTTTCGCAGTCAACGAATCTTGTTGAATTTACCGTTTATCCTTGTCTATCTTATTGTCACTGTATAATTCCATGGTTACCGTAGTTTTAAATAATTACGAAGCAACAGGTATTTGCACAATGTTAATTAGGAAGATTACCTTGAAAAACATTGCTGCCGTATTTCTGATATAGTTTTTTGCAAATTTCTCAGTTTTTAATAACAATTAATTTCTTTTACTATTTTTTATGTACTCCTATAACAGCGCCAGACAACATCTCCAGAGGAATGACGCCAATTTTGAATCACCCTACATATAACACCACTAACACGCAAAAAGTTACTAATATATTATTTTAATAAGTGGGAACAAACTTTAGAACATATTATATGAATTTTCATTGATCAATAAATAGCAAACATTTAAGAGCAAAAGGAAATATTTTTTAAATATTATTTAAATGTTATTTCAAAAATATTTGTTTCTAATATTTAAATAGCATGAAACAAATAAAATAAAAATCGTT